CCCCCACCACCACCCCTCCCTAAAACTTTGAACTCTGAACTTTAAGTTGGATCATTTCCATTTAACAGTCAGGTTGCTTTGATCCTGTAGATCTTATCTTAAAACCTCTATCAAAGAAAGAGAAAGAGATGAGTTTTGTGTTTTCTCAGACCCATAAGARGGGATTTGACTTCAGAAGAGCATTACTGACAACAAAGATATGTTTACCTTTATTTAACCAATAAAATCCTACTGAGATCAGTTGTCTTTAGAAGGCCTGGGTCTGAAAGCAGCCTAACATGCATGTTTTAATTTGTGGGAGGAAGCCAGAGTACCTGGACACAACCCAYTGCAACCTCCATCAGACTCTGGTCTGAACTCTTCATGGCACTGATGCAGGCGAAGAAGACATGACTTCACATTTAGCATGCTAACTTTAACTTACAGAAGTAATTGTTGATACAGCATGTTATACACTGTATATAATTACCCACTCGGCAGATACATATTAATAAAACTTACAGAAAATAAACATTGAATGTACATCTCTAACTGGTTAGAGTTTGGAATCGGTCTGATTTAAGACGACATACACAGCCCTTCATCCGTTATCTTTTACCTGCTTCTCCCTTTRAGGGTCATGYGGGTCCCTGTGAGGGGCAGGGTACAGTCTGGACAGGTCTCAGTCCATCACAGGGCCACACACAGAGACAAACAACCATTCACTCTCTCACTCACACCTAGGGGCAATTTAAGAGTTATCAATGAACCTAACAGTCATGTTTTTGGTCTGTGGGAGGAAGCTGGAGTACCTGGAGAAAACATGCAAAAACCCATACAAGTCCCCGGACCGGGATTCGATCTGGTGACCTTCTTGCTGAGAGGCATCAGCTCTACTACCTAAGCTATCATGCCGTGTTGTCCACAGCTCACTGACCTAAAGCATAAATATCTCAGTCAGTCTTACAGACAGTGATCTGGGCCTGTATTTATAAAACTTCTTAGAATTCCTCTTAAGAATGCTGCTAAGAGCGGACTTAAGTGTTAAATAATTCTTAGTTAAAAGCTGAGAGTAAAAGTCAGTTATCAAGTGTCTCAGTCTGACTTTAAGTGAAGTGTAGGAGTAAATCTTAAGTGTCAGTCTTACTTTAAGTGAAGTGTAGGAGTAAATCTTAAGTGTCAGTCTGACTTTAAGTGAAGTGTAGGAGTAAATCTTAAGTGTCAGTCTTACTTTAAGTGAAGTGTAGGAGTAATTCTTAAGTGTCAGTCTTTAAGTGAAGTATAGGAGTAATTCTTAAGTGTCAGTCTTTAAGTGA